AACTATACACATATAATCTATATATTGCATGTATATATTTATGTATATAAATTTTTTTTCACTAGACCACCAGGGATGTATATAAATATTTATGCCCTAATAAGCATGCATTACTTTTATGAACTGCAGCATGATATATTTACTATACTATATTGAAAAAAGCATTAGCTGTAATCCCAGCACTTTGGGAGGCTAAGGCAGGTGGATCACGAGGTCAGGAGTTCAAGACCAGCCTGGTCAACATGGTGAAACCCCTTCTCTACTAAAAATACAAAAATTAGCTGGGCATGGTGGCGGGCACCTGTAATCCCAGCTACTCAGGAGGCTGAGGCCAGAGAATCGCTTGAACCTGGGAGGCAGAGGTTGCAGTGAGCTGAAACCATGCCACTGCACTCCAGCCTGGGTGACAGAGCGAGACTCCATCTCAAAAAAAGAAAAAGAAAAAAGCATTAGCTTCAGAGTATTTGAATGTTTGCTTCACCATTTACTATGTTTGTGCCTTTGGCTTTCTAAATCTCATTTTCTTCATCTATAAAATGGACACAATATCCACCTCGCAGACTTCTGAAGATAAGCAATAATGAAAGCAAAGCATCTAGCATGTTGTCTAACACACAGTAAAAGGACAGCTAATGCTATTTCTTATAATGGGAGAAAACAAACTTTCCTTTAAATTGATGAATAAGCAAATGCATGATCAATACGTGTTTTTAACCTAGCAATAGCTCTGCTCATCATCTCCTATTCGTTAACTCAGTTAAGGTCTATGTGTTGAGTGCTAACTATACACCAGGCACCTTGCGTGGCCCAATAGCCCAGACTGGTTGTTGGATGAATGTTTGGACATTCCTGGATATTGAGAAGAGGACATTCAAGGCCAGGAAGATTCAGATGAGCAGGCACATTGCAACCACGAGCTCCGGGGAAGGGAGAGAGAGATGTGAAAGCCACCAGCCAAGGAGATGAAACACGTGCACCAAAGCCCTGGCACCACCCTCAGGTGAAAATTTTTGGGACCTAATCCCAGACCATCTACCAGACTTTTTCTTCCTGCCTCTGTAGCTGATTGTTGCTCTACTGAACCACAAATACCCAATCCCAATAGTGTATTAGTCAGGACTGCATTTGGTTGAATGCCTCAAAACCAAAAATCTACCTTAACAAATTAGGAATCATTTGTCTCATGTAGCAAGACATTTAGAAGTAGATGCCTAGGGCTAGTGCTCAAAGATGTTACCAAGGACCCCCTTCCTTCTTTTTTCCTTCTCTGTCAGCCCTAACATTTGGTTGTCAACATGCAGGACATGGACGGTGGCTGCTGCATTCTCATCCCAGGCTGGAAGATGCAGATTGCAAAGGACCAAAGATTATGCTAGTGAATGCATGTCCCTTTTCCAATTCTCCCAGAGCACTACCTGGAGACTTCCACTCCCACCTTATTAGCCAGAATGCTAATGCCCACCCCCACCTTCAAGGGAGTCCTGGAAGATGTGCATTTTTTTTTTAGACAGAGTCTCACTCTGTCACCCAGGCGGAGTGCAATGGTGCAATCTCGGCTCACTGCAACCTCTGCCTCCCAGGTTCCAGTGATTCTCCCACTTCAGCCTCCCCAGTAGCTGGGATTACAGGCACCCACCATCATGCCCTCCTAATTTTTGCATTTTTAGTAGAGACAGGGTTTCACTATGTTAGCCAGGCTAGTCTCAAACTCCCGACCTCAGGTGATATGCCCACCTGAGCCTCCCAAAGTGCTGGGATTATAGGCATGAGCCACCATACCTGGCCTTAAAATGAACATTTTTAACTGGGTCATTGCTTCCCCAGTGAAATCAGGTGTCCACCAGCAGTGCCTTCCACAACTAAGTTGGTGATGATGCTGCTACTCCAGTGGCAGGCGTGAGAAGTCCCCAGGAAGAGTGCTGAGGTGCTGGAAAAGCTCTGGGGTCACTATTTCGGGAGGAAGCCAATTTTGTGGAGGGCCAGCAAAAGGAAGAAGTAGAAGAGTGAGTGAGGCCGCAGGTGGGCAAAAATCAGCAATCCAAAACTGAAAAGGGAAAAGCCTGCTGGTGGAAGGGCCAAGATGGGACTGTGAAAGAACCAAATACCCAGAGACTGAGCGGTTGCCATGGAGAGTGTGGAGTAAGCCCCTCCTCCTCTCCCACATGGACCTTCTGCAAAGGGCAAGTTGCTCATCCTATGGGCTGAGCTGTGTCCCCCCAAAATTCATGGGTTGAAATGCTAACGCCTAGTACCTCAGAATGGGACTATGTTTAAAAAGTCTTTATAAAGATAACTGAGTTAAAATGATGTCACGTGGGTGAGCACTCACCCAACATGACTGGTGTCTTCATGAGAAGAGGAAGTGAGAACACTGACAGGCAGAGGAGCGAACTTGGAAAGACGCAGAGAAGACGGCCATCTGCAAGCCAAGGAGAGAGGCTGCAGAAGGAATCCCCTGCCATCACCCTGAAGCTGGACACCTGCCTCCAGAACTGTGAGAAAGTAAATCTGTTGTTGAATTCACCCAGTCAAGGCACTTTGCTGTGGCAGCCCTGGTTAGCGTTTAATCTGGAGAGATGGGTTGGGGCACTCTGAAGAGACAGTGTGTCTCACATCGGAATCTTCTTAGCTGCACAGAAACCGCTCAGAGTCACACCCAACAGCTTGAAGCCAAAGAGTAACACTCCCTGGGATGCCACAGAAATGATGAACATGTGTTGGGCATTTGAAGACCTGGGGTTGAGGAGGGGCCAAGGAGTCTCAGGGCCCCGGCCATTATCCAAGCTTCACAAGCTAAGGACACTGGCTAGAAAGAGAAGAGAGACATGATTTCTTTCTGAGATCTCTCTTCCCCTGGAACCTGACCTAGGGGAGAGGAAGCCATTCTATGTGGAGGAGTGGCCCCAAATTTGCCCTCTCCCAGGCACCTCTGTCCCAGAAGAGAATCTTCCAAGGATCTGCTCTTGGCCATTTCCCTGTGGGTAATGACTCCACAAATTCCTCTCAGCTGCACTCCCCATTCTCCTCCCGCTTTATTTCATGCCACGCTTCTCACCGTCTGGCATGCTACACACTAGACATGTTTATTTGTTTACCATTTATCTCCCTCCACTTGAAACTTCTGGAGGGCATGGATTTTGTGTGTTTTGTTTACCACCATATTCCCAGCTCCTTAGAGCACAGTAGATGCTCAGCAAATATGTCACGTGAATCAATGACGTTAATTGCCAACAGCCTATTGCTGAAAACTGATAAAATCTGTGCATTCTGTCCCTAAGGTATTCGCCTTTTCACATAGGAATCCAGGAGTTTGGAGTAACTTGAAGGTTCAGGTTAATTGGGTTTTTAAATGACAGAATCTCAGACAAATTGATAGACTCATGTGGAAGATATCTGAAAGCAGACAGAACTTCCTGACCCTCCTCCAGTCACCCCATGGAATCGGCTATGTGCTCCCTAGAGGTAGACCCCATGGGGACACACATGGGAGAGAAGGGAGCTGGGCATGGGGAATGTGGACTCAGACCCTGGGCTCCTGGGCAGGGCCTGCTGCACTGCTCCTCCCAGAGCTCACTGGCCCCATTCTCAGCCCCTGAGTGTGCAGAAGCGAGCCTCTGCATTTCAAGTGGTTGAGATGTCATTTTGGGGGAGTTTATGGTGTTATTAATATGGAAATATGCAAGGTTCTACGGCAAGCAGCTGGCCCCTGTACTAATAATGGTTATTCACAGTCCAGGAGTCAAAGGCATTTCTGCTTGGGTGCTCATTAAAACTGGCCCAAAAAGATTGGGATTAAGGCAGTAAATGAGCCGCAGGTCCAACCATCTCGTGTCACTGGGAGTAGGGGTCTGCACCACCAGAAAGTGGGGTGACTATCTCAAATCCTGCTCACTAAGCCATGTGCTAGACAGCCCACGCTCCCACCATCACTTGTGTGCAAACTGGTCCCCCATTCCGCTCCTAAGGAGGGAGCCGTAGGTCCTGGAGTCACCTGTCGTCTTCAGATACTCTCCAGCCATCACAGGTGAGGAGAGCCGGAGAAAATCTGGAGTCAGCCCAGAAACCCTGACTCCAGCCCAGTTCCACTCTTCCCACAAGCCCTCCTGAGATCCCAGAAGTGCGCAGCTCCTGCGTTCCTCCAGGGGAGGGTAAATGCTGATTCATACATTTCCTAAGGAAGACTGGAGGACTGTTTCATTGACCTATCTCAGCCTTGAGGAAGTAAATAGCGTAGGTGTGCGGCTCTCGTTTACAAAAATGCAATGTCATTTATTTTCCTGATCTTCATCTTGCTACAAACTCCATACCTGTCAAGTCCTAACTCTGTGTCATGACTGACATTCGTTGTCGTTATCACTGCTACTATCAATACTATTATTAGAGGGGACTCCTCTAACTGACAGAAACTTCAGCAGGATTACATAGAGAAGGAACCCCAAAATTCGTAAGTTTCCATATGATACTTGACCGTAACATTTGGTTATCTATGGCTGCATAACGAACTACACCAGAATTTGGTGGCTTAAAACAATGATTTATTATTTCTTATGATTCTGTGGGTTGACTTCACTTAGCTTCTTGACACTGCAACTGGATCTCAAGGTGGCCCAGACCGGGAGCAATGGCTCATGCCTGTAATCCCAGCACTTCAGAAGGCCAAGGGGGGCAGATCACTTGATCCCAGCACTTAGAGACCAGCCTAGGCAACGCGATGAAGTACCATCTCTACAAAAGATACAAAAATTTGCTGGGCATGGTGGCACATGCCTATAGTCCCAGCTACTCAGTTAGCTGAGGTGGGAGAATCATTTGATCCCGGGAGATCAAGGCTGCAGCGAGCTATGTCTTGTGCCACTGCATTCCAGCCTGGGTGGTACAGTGACACCATTCTCAAAACAAACAAATAAATAAATAGGTAAATAAAAAGATGGCCCAAAGAGAAGCCACAAGGTCTCTGAAGGGCTGGGCCGAGAAGTCACGCTGTATCACTCCAAGCACATTCTATCAGTCAAAAGATGTCACAGAGCCTGCCCAGCCAAGGGGACAGGAAACAATCCCTCAAATTCCTAGCCACTGATGGAAGAAACAGAATGTGCACCCAGGGATAGATCACTGGTGCCATCTTTGCAGTCTATCAGCCTCACCTAAATAACCTTCAACAAAGCAGACCCACTCTCTTCATGCGCACCTGTGTATATACCACCTAGTTTATGTGGGCCTGGACTTTCTGACCAGGTAAATGGAGATGTTGGTGTCTTGTCCGACCAAAGACAGAAACCGAATAGGATAACCTGTTAAAATTCCCTTCCAGCTGTGAGTCTGTGGCTTCTACCATCTCACAGATGCTTTCAATTACAAATGATTTTCATCCTTTGTAATTACAATGTAATTGAATTCATCCTTTGAACTTCAGGACCTAAAAAAGATGAAAATATCTGTTTTCTTTCCACCAGCAAGTCTTAAATCTTAGACTGCGTTTAGTGATCTTTTAATTCCACAGTAATGTCAGAACCACCAAACTTACCTGAATTTGTTCCTCAAATTTCTTTTGGCATGTATTATTTTTCCATCCTAAAGGAAAGAGAAAAATTGGGGTCAAGCGTTAAATATGGGCTGGGCGTGGTGGCTCACACTTTTAATCTTTGCACTTTGGAGGCCAAGGCAGGACAGTTGCTTGAGCCCAGGAGTTTGAGACCAGCCTAGGCAACCGAGTGAGATCACCGTCTCACAAGTAAATACATTTTAAAAAGGTTTTAAGTTAAATATAAAGACCAGGCTCAGTGGCTCATGCCTATAATCCCAGAACTTTGGGAGGTCAAAGCGGGCTGATCACTTGAGGCCAAGAGTTCAAGACCAGCCTGGCCAACATGGTGAAACCTTGTCTCTATCAAAAAAATACAAAACTTAGGCAGGAATGCTGGTACACACCTGTAGTCTCAGCTACTCAGGACGCTGAAACACAAGAATCACTTGAACCCAGGAGGCAGTGATTACAGTGAGCCAAGATCATGCCACTGCACTCCAGCCTAGGCAACAGAGCAAGACTCTGTCTCAAACATACATGCATTTAAATATGACAATCCTTTCCCAGTACTTCTATGAGAAAACCTGAAAGTGGCATGCAAGAGGAAAAATTACATTAAAACTAAAGAAAAGAGATCACTGCAGGATTGTTGACCCAAAACATACATGCATCACAGGAAATGGGAGGAGAAACACTGGTCCACACAGTGACAATGAAAAGGACCTTTGGACTGGCCAAGTGAATAAGAACAACAAGAAAAATCTTGGCCAGGCACGGTGGCTCAGGCCTGTAATCCCAGCACTTTGGGAGGCCGAGGTGGGCAGATCACGAGGTCAAGAGATTGAGACCATCCTGGCCAACATGGTGAAAACCCCGTCTCTATTAAAAATACAAAAAAATTAGCTGGGCGTGGTGGCACATGCCTGTAGTCCCAGCTACTCAGGAGGCTGAGGCAGGAGAATTGCTTGAACCCGAGAGGCGGAGGTTGCAGTGAGCCGAGGTTGTACCATTGCACTCCAGCCTGGCGCCTGTTGAGGGAGTGAGACTCTGTCTCAAAAAAAAAAATTACTTTTCGAAAACAGAAAATTTTAAAGTATTACAAACACATTTTTTTTGACAGTGTCTTGCCCTGTCACCCAGGCTAGACTGAAGTTGTGGGATCATAGCTCACTGCAGCCTCTAACTCCTGGGCTCAAGTGATGGTCCCACCTCAGCCTCCCCACTAGCTGGAACTATAGATACACACCACCACACACGGTTAGTTTTTTTGTAGAGACAGGGTCTTGCTATGTTGCCCAGACTGGTCTCAAATGCCTGACCTCAAGCCATCCTCCCACCTTGGCGTTCCAAAGAGCTTCCAAAGAGGTTTCAGGCATGAGCCACCGCACCTGGCCATTAACAAATTTTTTTACACGAAATTCCAAATATTGATGAAAAAATGTATTCACATAGCCAAGCAAAACCGCCCTGCAAATTCCTATTTCCTCACATAAATCACTCTTCTCACGTTTCTCTGCATCACAGCTTGAGGCTTTTCTTTTGCTTTATCTTCACATAAAATGTCATCAAAGCACCTCATAAATTTGATTTGCAAATTCAATGTGTCTCACACCCATAACCTTGTCCCTCTGCAAAACAGAATCTCAACCAGCTGTTCTGAATACACCTCTAGAACAATGCCTGGAAGAGCTCATCAGCACCAGACAGACATCGTGAAGACAACAAAACAAGACTGAAAATGAGAAGTGCGTGAAACTGAGTATTGATATGTACACACTAAACAAACAGCAGGGTCCTGATGTTAATTTTCAGTCCTTCCACTTAAGGAACCAGTAAAAACTCTAAACTGACTATCCCATTCTGTTCTTTTTCCACCTCTTCTCTACAGGGCTACAGCTTCCTTTAAAATCGGGGTCCATACTGTGACTTGCCAGAATTTCATAGGAAATCTCTGCCAACATTGTAATACAAAAATTCACCCGACCTACCAAGTACTTTATGCAACTGTAATTAATGCGAAGGGTTGCTTCCTCCAACACAACTTGCTCTTGGTGTTTCGTTTCCCTGGGGATGGTTTCCCACTCTCTGCAGCTTCAGAATCACTGTGTTCCACCCACATTCAACATAAGAGAGGGAGAGTTAAAGTTTTGTCTTTCTTGCTGGCTAGTCAAAGGTGACTCCATATTAGGGTCCAGGGTGAAGATGCTTTCCTCTCTTGCACTGTCTCTCTCAACATCTTTTAGCCACTATCATCATCCCCAATGTCACCATGATATTTCTGCGTAACAACCCTGACCTACACCTTTAAAGAAGCTGCTCAACTCAAGACCTCATGAAACACATTTGTAGCTGTTGTCACACGGGCTACATGAGCACAGAAAGTCCAAATCACAGAATTTTTTTAGAGTTAACAGAGACACTACAGATCAACTCCATCCCCCTCATTGTGGAAATAAAGAAACTGAGACAGTAGAGGAGGGGAGGGAGGAAAGTGGAGGGGAGGGAGGGACGGAAGGAGAGGAGGGGAGAGGAAGGGGAAGGGGAGGGGGTAGGGGAGGGAGAAGTGGGGGTGAAAGGAAGGGAAGGGGAGGCAAAGTGGAGGGGAGGGGGAGGGCAGAGGAGGGGGAGGGGGAGGGAAGGGGGGAGAGGAGGGGAAGGGAGGGGAGGGAGGATAGGGGAGGGGAGGGAGGAGATGGGGGAGGGAAGGAAAGGCAGGGACGGAAGGGGAAGGGGAGGGGAGAAGAGGGGAAATTCATTAATGTTTGCACAGTACAGAGAACAGAAGTTGCAACTCCTGACTCTTTAACGTCTCAAATAGGACCCATTTTGGATTTCAGACTTGCCACAGAGATGGGGCCACCAATGGGAATCTCTCCTCTACTGCTCTCCTGCAGGCCCATCTGTCCATCTGTCACAGCCTTCTAAGCCTCCCTTTCCATCCCTTCCCTGGGCATGGCTTACAGGGGTCCAGTGGAAGTGTCCACAGGCAGGGCCAGTTTCACAGGAAAAAAACCTAGACAGTCCCTCAAGACCCCACATTTAGAAAGACTCTGTCCTTGACTTCAATTTCTGCTGCCACTGTCTTGAAATTCTTAGCAGTTTTTTAACATACTGGAGACTCCCACATTTTCATTTTGCACTGGGCACTGCAAACTACATAGCCAGTCCCATCCACAGTATATACCACATGAATTAATCGCCTTTGACTAGCTCACAAGAAACACAACACTTCAGAATCTCCCTCCCACCCTGAGTGTGGGTGGAACACAGAGCAATTACAATGCTACAGCAACCTCACCCACATTTCTCTTCCAGGGAGGGTCAGGAGGGTGAGTGAGAAGATCAATAAAAACTATCACTAAGCATCCTCCCTCCCTGGGCTTCAGGTTCCAGAAAAAGATCCTTGTCCCTATCTGAGTCCCAACTACCTATCTGTGAATATACAGCAAGTGCTCCCGTGGCCTAATTAACTAACCTCTCTGAGCCCCTGTTCTTGCTTTCCTCCAATTATAGAAGCCATAAATGCTCATTATAGAAAAATTGAAAAGTGCAGAAAAACAGAAGTAAGAAAAGGTCACCTGCCTTATTTAACACACATATTTTCTCTGTAAGGTACATCGCAGCCTTTCTATCTGAGTGTCATCACTGTTAACACTTTTGGGTTTTCCTTCTGGCTTCCTTCCATGCCTACACTTTTTCACATATGTAAGGAAAGACCACCTTCTTCCCGGCAAGAAAGAATATTGGTAATCTTGGGAGCCTCTGCTACTGGTGACCTAGAGAGCCTGTGAAGTCCAGGTGGACTCACACTTTCCATTTCGGAATGCACTCTCCCATCAACCTCATGTTCTCCACCAGCAGCCTGCCCTCTGAGAGCTCTGCAAAGTAAGGTTTCTCGGTCTGCACTGCTGACATTTCGGGTTGGATAATTTTTGTTGTGGGAGCTGCCCTATGCCTTATAGGATGCTAGCAGGTTCCCACCCTTCTCCAGCAGACTTAGCCATCAGACTGCTGGTCTAGTTACCATCCAGGTGCTCCCAAAAATATATCCTTGGTGGAGTGAGGAAGGCAAGAACCTCATAGCACTGAGTGGTCCTGCCTCACTCTGAATAAGGAACCAGGGTGTCACTGACTCAAAAACTGACTAGCTACAGGACAGAGAACCAGACAACCTGAGAGAAAAAGATGAGTACGTGTTTCTCAGATTGCTTCCGTCTCATTTATAGCTAGAGGGAAGATGAGCTATTACACTATCCCTGATTCCCAAGAGTGAACTAAAAACAAGTGGAAATCCATTTATTCATCTGTTAGACAAACATAAACTATGTTCTTGCTACTTTCCATGTACTCTGCAAAGTGCTGGGGATACAATGTAAAAGCAACAGACATAGACATGCACCTTTAAGGAGCTTACAGCCTGTCCACCAGGTGGATGGACATTAAATAACCACACACAGAATAGACAGGGTGAGATGACGTAGGAGGTGGGTTCCCTTCCCCAAGGCCATGCAGCCTCTAAGGGCACAAATGTTAAAAAAGAGTTATGCTGGAGCACAGCCACTCTACCATGCTGCCTGGTGGCTGCAGGTGTGGATCCTTCAGGAGCTGGGCAGGGCGGCTGTAGACAGGCCCTTCTGGCAGCTCCGCATTCAACTGGCACCATGGGGACATGGCTAAAAGTTAAACATAGGTGTTCTGCAATGTTCACGTGTGTAGGAGCTGAGCTTAAACAGGAAAGGAAATGAGCTGTGGATCTAATGGAAAGGGGGATCCACCTTCTATGCTTTCCTACTTTTCCCTCCTTTCTCACCCTTGCCAAGGTTGCCCAGTTACTTCCCACAAGCAGAGACAGTTGAAATCATGCCCAGCAACAAGACCACTGAGGATCTCCATGAAAAGATGAGCATCTCCCAGCCCCAAAACCAGAGCTATTTTCGCCAGATGAATCCCCAAGCTGGAAAGTTTTCCTACTCCACAGACAACACCTTTGAACAGGAGATTTACTTTGGTAATAGAGCTGGGCCCTTGTGGTAGGGGCAGAGAAGGT